TATATAATTTGATTAATTATTGGCCACCATGCATGTACTAGATTATACCTACTTCAGTCTAACACTGGGTATCTACATTACATTGGAGAACATTTGTATCTTCAGTGTTACGCCAGAATAGCACAATTTTTAGATGCCTTGCACCAATTTTATTTAAAGATTTGCATTTCTTATTTACTAAATATCAACTTTCTATACTCCAGAATTGAGAAAAAATAATGTTATCTTTTGGATTCAAAATTATCCACCTATACATATGTGGAAATTATGCTCTTACATATTAATGATTTATTTCCCATCACTTAGGTATACTTTTGAGTACTATAAATATTTATTCCTTATTTATTATGTAGACTATAAAAATTTCAAAATTGACTACAGAGTGAATTTTTATTATTTTCTGAGTATAAAACTGATACATGATTATTAATAGAAAATTTAGAAAATACTGAAAAGGATAAAGAAGAGAAAAAACTTATCTGCAATTTCACTATCCAGAGATAACACTGTTAATATTTTTTGTATTTCCTCTCAGTCTTTGTCTATGCTATTTATATGTATGAGTGTGTTTATGTGTTTGTGTGTGTGCATAATAACAAATTGAGATTATGCTGACTATATAGTTGTATACCCTACTTTTTATAACTTCCTAAGTACTTCCCCATGTCTTTGAAAATGTAATTTTTAAAAAATGGCTGCCTAATATTTTATTGTATGAATATATACACCATGATGGAACCAGTTCTTTCTTTGGATATTAGATTGTTTCTAATATTTCACAATTATAAATAATAGTGGGATGGACATCTTTGTAAAATTGTAAAATTTGAACTCTATAATAGATTAATTCTTTAGGGTATATTCCTGGGAGTGGGGTAATTGCTTTAGATGGTGAGAACTTTTTAGGCATTTTAAAATATGGCCAAATTACCCTTCAGAAGGTTTGTACCAAATTAGCAATACGTGAGTACCCATCATACTGCCCCTTCTCCACTATTGATTATTATTTATTTTAATTTTTGACAATTTGTTAAGCATATAATTGGTTGTTCTTTTTCATCATTCTGATAAGAGTGGCTTCACCATGAATCAGGTTTTTTCCTTCTGTGATTTTATAGTTGATTGATTAATAAAAAACACAAGAGGGTTGCTTAGGTTGAATGGACTATACCCCTGTGAATATGTTTACTGTACATTTAAAAGTCTAGAATATTTCAACATCACTCCACCCTTTCCTAGAATACGAGCATATCTTTCATACTCAGTCATGAAGTAGAAAGAGTTCCAAACTGATAGTTGAGTACTGAGTTATAGTTCTGTCTGTGCCACTAATTAGTTCTCTTACATAAATATTTCATGTTTTATCCAGACATTCTCATCTGTAAAATGTGTAGGTGATCTTTTAAGCACATTCTAGAATGTTAAAAAGCTACATGATTAAATTAGAAGTTTTATCTTGATTTCAACTCTACATACATAAAAATGAAAATCTTTTTTTAACACAAAAGGGAAATTAATTTGCATTATTTAATGCAGTTAATATTACCTAAATTGTTGAACGTAAGCTTTTCTACTTTAAGTGCCTTAGAAGTGTTTTGTATTTGAAATCTAAAATGTAAAGGAAATTATTATGTGGTTCTGTACAGTTTCTTCTTTATTACATGCATTTGAGTTACTTGCAGCAACTTTTTTTTAACCGTAGATTGCACAGAGCAGTATATTCATGGATTCTTCACTATTCTGCTAGTGAGTCCTTGAGAAATGTATGTTAAAGATTAGCTCAGTGAGCAGGTAAGTGAATGCTTTGTCTTGGGTGGGCAACAAATCTTCATACAGAGTAGGATAAAGGACTATTCAGATATTCCAATGTTCATATTTAGACACTCCAATATGGATGGTATGTCCTGAGTTAGTCACTGATTATTGTTGCAGGTCAGAAAGTTTTCTTTGGTGGTAAATAGTTCATTGCTCTAGATAAGAGGTTGGCAAATGTTTTGTGTGAAAGACCAGATACTAAATATTTTGGGTTTTGCAGGCCGTATGGTCTCTGTCCCAACTATTCATCTTTGCTGTTGTACCACAAAAGCAGTCATAGGCAGTGTGTACATGAGTCGGTGTGGCTCTGTTTCAGTCAAACTCTATTTACACAAAAAGACAGCTGGATTCGGTCCATGGGCCATAGTTTGATGTCCCCTGTCCTAGATGGTATAGTTTACTTATAGTTCAAATTATTGGCTAGCAATTTAGACTGCAAAAAATGATTGTAAGTTTCTACCTTCCTAACCCTCTCTTAATTTGATGTAGCGTACTTGACTGGGTTTGAGTGTTATTTAGAATTATAAAGGGAAGTGGGAAGTGGGTAAAGAAAATGAGGAAGTCTTAGGAACTAGTGTTAAAGCACTTTGAAGCCCTTTTATTTGCTGAAGCCCACTGGGAGGTTTGCTTTGCTGCTGTAAATTAATCAAAAGAATGATGAGGTTGTGATTAGTTGTTGCAAATTAAGGAAATTATTCTAAGCACTTGGCTACCTAGACGGTACTAGAGGATGGATGAGATGAACCTTTGTTCTTGAGTATTCTGGGACATAGGCCAGTAATTTAAGAGAGACTGTGAAATGTGAGACTCTCTTTTTCCATGTAAAGACTTTGGAAAAATAACTACCATCTTCCATCACTGTCCCTTAATATTTAGCCCCCTAACCCCAACCCTCAATATTTAGGAAGGACATAAACCCAGAATAAAAAAGAATTATTTAACTGGAACAACTTTAAGTTGATGGAAAGATTACTATACTCTTCTATTTTCATTTACTCTGGATCAAAGAAAACTTCATCAAAGAGTCATATTAGTCCATAGACTGGCAGTTGGGAAGCGCTATGGTATGGTTGCTGAAAGACCTAATGTGGTTATGGAACTAATACTGAGTAGGAGGCATGCACTCTGACATTCAGTCTAAAACTTTAATATAATTGTGTTAAATTGTTAACTGCCACATATTAAGAGGGACATTATGAACTATAGTGTTCATAGGGAGGCATCTAGAACGATGAAAGGCCTGAGTGCTATGGAGAGTGGGATGCAATCAAAGAAATTGATAATATTCATTTTGGAGAAGATAAGTTTAAAGAGAGGGAGTTCGCCCCCCCCAAATATTTGAGTGACTACCATGTATAGGAAGAAATAGAATTTTTCTGTGTTGTTCTAGATGGGAAAATTAGGAAATGGAAGTTTCTGGTTCCACATTTAATGTTCTATATGAGAATTTCTAAATGCAAATAAGCTCTGTCCTCAAAAAACATTAGAAGTACTCAAAAGCTAGACCAGTGGTTCTCAAAATAGTATCCTGTGCTGTCAGCATCAGTATCACCTGCGTATATTATTGGTATAGATCTAAAATTATGGAACACCAAGCTGAAAAAAAGCTAATGGAATTAGTACAAATAAAATGCAATTTATTTCATGTGTATAAACTTATTAGGGTAATAATTTTTAAATAAAAATTGATTTTGATCATTTAACACTAACAACATTGATTATAAATTGATGATTGTTACTTGTTAGTGGTGGAACACTGGACTCTTAGAATAATAGTATACTTTTGTTTTAGTTAAAACATTTAAATACAAGCTAGAAGTTTCTATTTACTAAAATAAATTTCGGTTGGTCTTCATATCAGTGACTTTACTTTCTTAAGCATGTGCTTCTTGAACATTAAGACAGAGCCATATCCATAGCAGAAAAGGGTATTAAAGGAGCTTGCTCTTTTTATACCTGAATATTAGGAAGGGGAACCAAGAGGAGCTGGCAGATAAATTCTCTCTGCCTTCTTTCTCTTTTACCCTGTAAATACAGCTGAGTGGAGTGTCACACTATGATCGCTGTGCTAATCATTTGGTAACAGTACCCTCAGGTGATGCCGGTAACTGGCATTTCTGCCTTTTCAAAGTCACTGTTGTGGATGGAATTTGTTTGCCTATCATGAGTTTATTGATACATGCTGCTTGTTGGGGTACTGTGTGAGTAATTTTAGAGTTTTAGATTTGTCATTTATTTAAAGGTTCTCTGGGGATTTCAGAGTGGTTTGTGCCCAAGATGTATCACATTAATTGTGTATGTGTGTGTGTTTAATTCTAATATAAGGTTTTGGCCTTCACACTATAAAATAATAGAAAAAAACTTTAAAAGCCAGTTTTCTGATTTTGAAAGCCATAATATAATACAGTTGGTTTTTCATTATAAATTGTAAGTTATGTTCAAATGCATATTTCATACTGTATAGTGAGGTTGTAACTTCACTAGCTATAGTCTTGTTTCTTTCCTGTCATCC